CCCCCCCCCCCCCCCGCTCACTTGTTGTTGTCGTCCCAGACTTGTCGGAAAACGGAAGGCGGCACCGCCGCAGCCTCCATCTCCGCTGCCGCGGCGGAAACCCCGCCGACTCCGGCTTTCGCTTTCTCTGCCAGTGTAGCGGGGGCCGCCACTTCTTCGCCGTGGTTGCCTGGATCCCGGTCTCCAGAGCCTCCTTTCCCTTCCTCTTCCGGACTAGCGGTATCGAAACCCGCACCGTAAGATTGGTCAACACTAACGACCCGATTTGAAACACATAATTGAGGGAGGGAAAACAACAGGGATGGGGTTGAATATTTTGGGCTTCTTCGCCGTATTTTGTTGTCCACAAGCCCAGACGGTCGCATGAGCAACCAAAGGCCAAGCTGGTGCCTTGCTAGGCTTGACGCTGGCACTCACCGCTCGTAGAAGAGAAGATAGGCGTTCTGGATGTTGTCCTTACGGAGAGTGCGCGGCCAGCCGTATTCGTCCGTCTCCTGCGAGAACCGCGACAGCCGCAAGTGCCGCGAGGAGCGCAGCAGCGATACGGCGTGTGAACGGTTATGGCGCAATCTCGCTGGCGACACACCACGGGCGAGCAGCACGCATTAAGATTGCAATACCTACCTCAACAGTCGGGATCGCCAACTTTGTTGCAAAAGCTGCATGACTCTTCCCCAGAAAAACATGAAGTAGACCACAAGCAACACCCATCACGACCATCACCGCCCCAGCAGGCTCACACCTTGGTTTCTTACGCACCAGCCTCACGCACCAGCCACCTCATATCACCTGCATGGTCTGCTGCCCGCCGAAGCAATCCGTCGACAACCCGCCAATCCTCCCACCGCCGTCCTCCTTGCCCCCCTCCCCACCTTCGCTTCCCGCTCTCCGTCCCGCCACGGCCCACTCTTTCACCATGGTATCATTAAACTCGCACCACTGCGGGGCCCCCTTACCGCCCACACCTGAACCACCAACCGCCCCGGCATCCCCGGCCTCCGGCTGCGAGAGAGCGGTACCTCCGCTGGCAGCCGCCGCCGCCGGCTCCTTCGACTCATCATCCCCAACGCCGGCGCCGTCCGTAGACAGCGACGCTGTAGAAGGGCTCGCATCGGCGTCCGGCGGCTGCGACGCGCTAGCGGGAGACGGCCCGCTGCTGTTGCCGCTGCTGCAGCCCTCGGCCATTTCTTCGGCAAAGGAGGAAGCGTGCTGCTGCTGTTGCCTCGGGTCTCGGATGTAGCTGAAGTAGTGACCCTGGTTTGCGGTCCCGGTGTGAACGACCACCCCGCGAAGCTCGTAGGTGTAGTACGACCGAGGGTGGACTTCGTACGGTCCCGGCAAGCCAAGCCTCTGTACAGCAGTGCGTCGTGGTCATGCAGGCCGGTATAGATAGACGCGGGTGTCAGGGGGGGGGGACGTACTCTCATGTTTCGCGTGCCTTAGCGGTTAGACCATTGACCACGCGTCCCCGAGAGCACCGGGTTCAGACGATTGCGGTCGGAAATTCGCCGGTCGGGATAATCTGCTTGTGTGACTCTCCGCCTGCTGCTCTACATCATGACGTTTTCGATTCGAGGGCATCATGACGTGCCGCTCTCTCTGTTGCATCATGCGACAATGCCCGCGCCGCCGTTAAGCAGCCTTGCCGTGTTCGTTCACAACGTACGGGCGGGCACTTGCGTCTATGAAGATTTCGTCGGACATCCGTAGCATAACTAGTTTGTATTTGTGTTGGCTATCAGTAGACCCTTCCTTACCTTGGCGTCCTCCGGCCCGCGTCCCCCCGCAGCCTCCACGCGCTCTCGCCACGCCATGCCCTGCGGCACAAGGCACAAGGCACAAGGCACAACAATGGCAATAACACCGACAAAGGGGTATCGTAATAGGGAGCGAGTGGACAAGAGAAGATGTCGTAAGCTTTCGTGGAGATAGGCTTGCAGCGACTACAACACGCCAGGATTTTCAGAGGCCTTTCCACGTAAACGCGAAGATCAAATCAAAACAACAGCAAGAACAGAAAAACGCCGTGAGGCGACCCACCGAAAAATAGAGGCTCAATCGCAACAGGCGCCCACTATTAGAACAAACATTCATCGCCACGACCAAGCCTACCGCCGCTAGACAAGAATGGTGGCCGCATAACACCAGGCACTGCTTCTTTTTGGTGAACTCACGCTGATCTTCTACAGTACGGGACTGCTTTGCGACAAGCGAGAACCGAGGTTCGGCCGCACTCAAGACTCGTTCCCAGCAGCGTCAGGACCAAAGTTCAATTTACTTTCGCGCCCTCGAGAGCTACCAAGCCCCGGCAAGCCAAGCCAAGCCAAGCCAAGCCCCCCTCACACCTCACCTCTTTCGTGAAGGGCTCTAGGTCCAGTCGGGTGGGGAAGTCGAATCGCGTGTTAACCTTCTCTGTCTGGAAGGTGTCGAGATTCATCTTGAAGCGGTTCAGGTGGAGCACCACGTTCGGCGGAAGCTTCCCTAGAACGGTCCTCTTGTAGATGGTCACGTCCCTCCGCTGGGATAGCAGGAAAAAGCAAGGGGTAGGTTGTCTTGTCGCAAGTGCCGCAGCTTCGAGGTAGCGGAGAAGTTGCCAGCCGGCGGGCAAGTCATGGGCGTGATGCTGGTGGCGTCGATGAAATATCTCCGACACTAGCGACGCATAGCAATGTCGTAGACCACCAGTGGTGAAATACCCCGTTACAAGACTGGAGGCTTGTAGAACAGCAACATATGAGCGCACGACTTCGCTGCAGTCACTCACCACAAGTCAAAGGTTTCAATTCAAGTCAACGACACAACCACACACCAAGCCAATTATGTCAACACCTCTAACATTCATGTACCTACATCTCCGCAGCAACACCCCACCTCACGCCACGCCCACCCACGTTCTCGGTAGTTCACGAGCATCACATTCATTACCGCACCGTTATGCGGCAAGAATAGCCCGCCTTTTGACGTTGCACAACAAAGCCCCGAACCTCTGCTGCGCCGTCCCCCCACCCACCTCGTCATCCCAAGCGTATCCCTCGATCATCTCCTTCTCCGTGAACTTCTCGAGTGCATCTTCCACCCCGACCATGTTTTTAACCTCCAGGCTCACGCACATGAACGCCTCTCCCCTCTCCCTCATGTCGAAACCCTCCTCCACCTCTTGCTCTCCTTCAAGGGGCGGCGTTTCCGTTGTTGCTGCAGCCGTCGTCGTCTCAGGTACGGCGGGGGCGGCGGCGGCCGCAGGCTTCGGGCAGATGAGCTGTGTGATCTGCCTCCCCTCGAAGGTTGACATGAGGGAGGACTGCGGGGTGTTCTTCAGGCCCGCCTGCGGGAGATCGGCAACAAACAAAACGGGGGCAAAAGAGGTGAGAAAAGCACGCGAGACAAAGTGGAGGAGACTTAAAAGAGGGGGGAGGAGGGGTTGTTGGCTGCGCCAACATGTTGTCGGTCAATTCAGTTGCTGTCGGTCAAATCAACACTGCACGAGACGTTTATTGGCGTTATTGGCTTATCGCACACACACCTACAAGGTACCTTTACCTACCTAGTACACACGTGAACAACGGCAAACGCCGTTTTGACCGTTTTGACATCATACGTGGCACGCACCTCCATCTTGTCGAAGAGGTCTAGCAAGAACCCCTGCGCGTCCTGTTGCACCGAAACATCGATCGGGTTGCCGTCAAGGTCCTTCACCGTTCGAAGGAACGGCAGGGGGTCCACAGCCTGGATTGGAGCACGAAGTATTTACGATCATCATCATTACCATCATTCAGACGACCCACCGCAGCGCGATAATTCATTGTTTGGCGAAATCATGCTAAATCGTGATACCATATTTTCGTGATATCCAACTAATATCGTGATATCTACTATCGAGGCTTTTACAGGGCTGCTGCAGCAAGAACATAATCCCGCTGTCACAGGGCTTCTGCAGCAACAACACAATCCCGCGACACAGACACACACAGCCGAGGCCACCAAACGACAACACAAACCGACCGTCGCGACTATGAACGAAGCCTGCACGCAGGCCGCAACATGAAAACATGCACCACAAGAAGAAGAATCACATTTCGCCGCATCGCATCACCCGTGGTTTATCTACCCGGAAGTGTGGGTGACATGGTTCCGCTAAGACGATCGCATGGTTCATTCTCGCAGTTCTGCAGCAAGCCCGACACTACCGTACTACCACAACGAGGCCTTGACTTGGCAGGATTCAGCCCGAAAACGAACGCTCAACAACAGTTACGCTAACGCCGGTGGTACGCATGTTTCTGTCACATCTTCCCACTGCTGTACCTGCTTTTCGCTGATCGTCAGGTGCCCGAAAAGCTTCTGCAGCTCCCCCACGAGGCTGTGCATCATGCAGAACCGGCGCCGCAGAACACGGTGTGACGGGTTGATAAGGAACCACCATGACCGTTGACGACCATGAGAGCCGTTGATTGGATTAAGCAACCCCCAGTCAGGGTGCGGCAGCGAGCACACAGGGATGCGCACAGATCCGGAAAGGGGAGGCAAACGACAACGGGAGATGGGGAGTACGGCGGAAGGTTCAAGACAGACAAGACAAGACAAGAGAACGAAGGGGTCACCACCATTCCTTTGACAAAATCTCAACCTTCCGGCGTGGGTCATTACCGCAGGAGGGGGTCCAACCCCCCCCTCCTATGTGACCCCGGTTGGGTCGTCTAGCTGGTAGAAGTGGAGGATAGGGGCCAGAGGGGCAGACGACAGAGTCCAATGATGGGAGACAAAAAAAAAAAAACTATGTCGCCCAACGTCACCACCTGGTCAGCTGCGGCCGGCTGACTCCACACCAACAACTACCCCTTCGCCTGGAGCTCTCAAAAACACCTCGAGCATGGAGCATGACGCCACGCTCCCGACCAAAAGAGAGAACACGCCATCCAAGAGTCATGACGCCGACACAAAAACAAATCGAGGAAATCGTTCTTCCCCTTTTCGCGAACGGGACCAATCGGGTCTATAACAGGCAATACTCAAACCGATCCGACCAACTAACGAGCACGGCAAACCATCACAAGGCTATCCTTCGTTCCAGTCGCCCACCTGCCAGGCTCAGTGTCACCCTCCCCGAGGCTGAGGAGTCCGTTTCTCAGCGGCTCCATCATGAAGAGCTGCTGCAGGCAAGAGTTCACATAGCAGGTGTTGCCCAAGTTTCGTAGCCCCACGCGCCCGACGGTGCTCCGCTCGCCCAAGCTCGGGCTGGAATGGCATGGCGGCATCGATTGCACGAGCAAAGGGGGAGGAGGGGTACGTCAAGGCTTAAGGGTTATGTCATCGACGACAGTTTCCCGGTGTACAGGCCATTCGCAAGAAAGGCGGAGGCATGGATGGCGGGTGCCTCAAAGGGTCTTGCATGTGGGAACCAGTGCCATGTGGATGGAGAGGTCAAGTAAGGGTTGTTAAAAACGAGGCCCCGTTATCGGGCCGGCTAGAGCAGTGTCACGACTCCCTTCCTCACCTGTACCCCCACACGTCCGGCTTGGACAAGAGCTGCCTCAGAGGGATCAGCCCCTTCTCAAGCACCAACCGGAGGTTGTGCGACGCGTCGAAAGCGCCGCCACTCCCCTCCGCCGCAGTATCATCACCACCCCGCCCGCCTTCAGGGGGCGACACGAAGCGCGGCCGGCAAAGGGCCGCGAGTAGCTTGTAGGCCATGGCCCGCGATGCCACCGTCTTGCACTTGGGTCGGGTCGGCGCCAGGGACTCAAAGGCTGTGCTGGCCGGGGCTGGCGGAGCGAAGAGGAAGTCTTCTAGTAGAGCCTCCACGAGTCCTTCTCCCACTCGAAGAGCAGCTTCCGGGCATGCCTCCACAATGGTAACTCCCAGCTTCAGGAGACCAACCTGCGTCAATCAAGGGGAAAACTCGTGCGGTGTCAACTGGAACGGAAGCATCTACACGGGGCGCAAATCGGTGGGCAAACGTGTTGATGGACAGCGCTCAAGGCGCCAACCGCTACCAGACTGCTGTTCCCGCTCAGCATGTGGTGAGATCGCGTCAAGGCCCGCTGGGAATAGGAGCACGATTTAGTGCTAGCAGAAACTTGACGCATATCGGAACACCTGCAACCTTTAATGGTCATGCCAGTACCAATCGACTTGCCTATCAAAACGACGGTTACTCCCGCCCCAAAAATCCCACCAAGACGAACTACAGTAGCAGTAGCCGTCAGGACGATTGTCGTTTCGGCCACAGCGATGAGACGGCGCGCCATCTGTCCAACATGAAAAAATAACCGCATATGCGCACCAAATCTCTCTCTCTCTCTCTCTCTCTCTCTCTCTCTCTCTC